GGGGGCGGGTGCGAGGTGGGAAGAGGGGCGGGCGTGGCGGACAGCCTGTGCGCAGACGCTGCGGGCGGTGAGCATGGGGCGAGACGCGTTCAGGAGACCGGGGTGGAGGACGTGGACGGACGTGGCGAGGAGGAGGGAGAGGGAGAGGAGGCGGGGCCGCGGAGCCTGAAACGGAAGAAGTGGCGGCAGACGCGTCTCATCTTCCGATTTGCCGAGGTGTCGCTCTCCCCGCCTTCTTTGCCAATTCTCGCCCGCGCCGTCGCCCCTCCCGGCCCCGGCGGCTCGTCTCTATATAAGCCTCGTCCAGTTCCATGTCCTCGCCCACTCCCCATGGGCTGCCCCGCCGCCATGCTCCCTGGCCCCTCCTCCCGCCCGGCCCACACCCTGCCCCCCATGCTCCCCCCTCGCTATCCCCTCCTCCCCCTCGACCAGCACCCCGTCCACGACTCGTACCTCTTCGCCGGCTCAGCCAGCACAGATCTCGTCTCCACCCTCTCCCGCTGGTCCCTCAGCGCGCCCGACTTTCTGCTTCCCTTTCACCACGCCGCCCTCCACCAGCCCTTAGAGCTCGCTTCCCCAGCCGCCGGCTGTGAGCTTCTCCGCTTTGCTTACCCCCGCCCTACTCACGTTTGTCCCAACAGTCTCTCCCACGCCGTCCGACGCCTCCTCGGTCCTCTCCTGGGACGCCGACCCCTCCCCTGCTCCCGAGTTTACCCATGTCGTATGCAACGCGCCCCTCGTCGCGCCCGTACCCCTTCCCTACCACTCCCCCACCTTCCTCCAGTACGACCTCCCCGACGATGACGAGGACCTGTCGCACCCGCCATACACCCGCCGCCCCCACAAGCGCAAACGCGAGGAGGATCAGACGGATGTCGACGCCCTCGGCGCCGTCCCTGCCAAGCGGCGATCGGTCGGCAGCGCAGAAATACGCGCCCATCGGCCGCAGCGTCACCTCCCCGTTCGCGAGCCCCCTCTGCGCGGCGTAGTCAGACAGGGTAGACCGCGGTAGATGCCTCGCTCAGGTCGGTTCCGTCCTTGCTATCTGATGCTCTCTGCAGATCATACTGACTCGGCCCATTGTCTCAGTCGGACTCTTTCTGCCCGCTCATACCAATTTGCCCTCATCCCCGCCCTGGGTAATGGGAATGGCTCAACGTTGCGGCGTGCTCGTCCACGATGACTCTTCGCAGGCACATGCGCTGATAGAAGGTCCCTTCCCGTTGCAATCGATGAGCACATGTACGCCACTCCTCTCCCCGGTGCCCTTCCGCCTGACTGCCAGCCAGATGGGGTGCCCGGCTTCACGTACATATGTCAGCTTCTGTGGTGCATCTCAGGCGTCCACGAGGGGCGCTGTACATACATCTATCCGTTAGCTAATCTGACAGTCGCCTGGCTGTCTCGTACATTCGAATGCACTAATAAGTAATGCGGTAGATTGCATCTCTTCTTGGACGTGTGATCTCTCGTCCGTTTGTCCCTCGCATAGCAAACAGGCTTGTGCCGTCCGACTGACACGCACATATCACCGACATCTCGTTGGCGGAAGCAATGCGGTGTCTGTGGCCATCGCGTGCGAAGCCGGAACGCTCGTCGCATCGAGCGAGCACATCAGGGCAGAAGACGTGTAAGTAGTGCTAGGGTGGAGTCTAACTCAATTACAGGGGGACACTGGGATCGGAACTGAAACAAAGGCACCACATGTCCTGGGCCCGTGTACATGGATGGTTCGGGTCACATCGATGTCGTTCGAATTTGCGCAATTATAGGTCAATTGTTCACGAGAAGCTGAGCAGCGCCGCCCCTGCCAGCCAGAAGATTACACACCCAGACGCGGCCGGACACTCGCCTGGGAGCCGAGCCCAAGTATACCCTCTCTGAGATGTTGCCTTTTATATCCGTCGTTCAGAGTGAGCAGCCATGGCCATGGCCGAGTCAGTCGCACGTAACAGCCTCGCTCTTATCTGGCGACCGCAGCGCGGGGCCAAGCGCGATACTAGTCAGGAGACGGCCCAGCGACTTGCGCGATTGCGCCGACCTGCAATCGGCCAGCCCTTTGCTTGAGCCTGAGCTCCAACCGCACTATCAATTGCCAATTCCCGCGCCAGGCCGAAGCAGCCCGATATCCCAGCGGTCTGCGCGCGCGGGGGGAGCAGCTGACCGGATGCGCGCACGCCGAGAGCGGGAATATGACATATAGGGACCCACCCCCGCCTGCGCACGCTCGAGACATGCACCAGCGGTCTCGCCCAGTGACTGAGTCGAGTGAAACTGCCGTGCGCACTGCGAGCTCGGCGGGTCCGACCTGTACATGAATGACTGCACGGGGCCGCCTTCGAAACGCTTGTCGCCGATGCGACGGGTTCCTAAACCGACATCGAGGTCTACTGAGCCGCTGTCAATTTTCTGGCCGACCCGGTGCGCTGAAGCGCTGACAGCTCGCTCGTCTCGCCGCAGGGTGCGTCACAGAGCGAGGCCCCAAGAGGCCCCCGGATATTGATGGCGTCGTGCGGAACGGCTAATCGTGCTCTCGTATCGCGGAGTCGCCTTGTGCTGTGGAACGCACGGAACGAGTCCCACAGCATCATCAGCCGGGCGGTTCATATGACTGTGGTTCACAATACGTGTACCTGCGGTGCATCGATCGAGCTAGCAGCCAGCGTCTGGCCGACATGCCATGGATGCCTGCGGCTTCTGACCAGTAGATTGCTCCGCCCCGAAATGCATCGGTCCACATATTCACAGGAACGTTGGGCGATTTGATGGCGTCTGGGTGTGGCGTTCCAGCATAATTTCCGTGTATGATCACTACTTATGATGAGGCAGGTGACGCCGCATTGCGGGCGGGGCAGACCATACGTCGAATTGAGCGGGCGTGTGTGTGTGTGCTCTCCCTCTGCTCTGAGATAGTCAAGTTGTTGCACATGGCTAATGTCCGTTCGTCATAACACGTTATCCGTTCTGTGTCAAGTGTCATCGTATCATGGAGCCAAACGCACCGATGCTGCTAGAAGCGCGTGTGTTCTCAGTGTGCGATTGGCGCCGCGGTAGACGGTTTGAACAATGACTGGAGTTCCGAGGTGAGACCGTGTACAGTGTAAATGAGTTTGGGACACCGCAGACCCATCATATCGGTGGTGTTAGATCGTTTTCATCCAGAGAAGAGATCGCGCGAGGTGTGGTGTGAGTCCGCTGCTGAGCCTCAGCCAGGTGTATAACCAGACCAGTGCAACCATGACGGGTGAGCGATGGTCATTCTCCTCCGATGCGCGACACTGGCAAGATGCGAGGCTCAGGGCTGAGGAGATCACCGAGGCGTCACCGAGGCGGTCGCACACGTGACCGCGGTGGACACGAGTAGCAGCAGTCGCGACCACTCCTCAGAGCTGCCAGTGTCCTCGTCTGTCTCCCAAACTCCGGACTTTACTTTGCCATCATTTATCTCTGGAAGACGCCCAACGTACTGAATGCTGGACCACTGTTCCATTTCCCACAAGGGTGTGTCGGCTCATTGAAGCCATTCGCCATTCGAAACACGACTAAATACATTCCAGGCGGGATCGTCTTGTGGTCGCGCTCCTTCACACCAGCGGCATCTCAAACAGCAGCGTCCGCTGCCTCGCCTGTCAACTCCCTCATCCGGGAGGCTCTCATCGAGGGTAGGACTGCGGAGGACAAGTACGAGAAGGACGGATATGCGGTGAAATGGACGTTCGTCAACGACCTCGAACTGATCTTTGTGGTCAGTCGCGGAGTCGCTTGTCCCATTACTGACGTCTCACAGCGTTCTCCGCCGCAGGTTGCGTATCAGCGGATCCTCCAGCTGACCTACGTGGACGAGCTTCTCGCCGCGCTCAAAACCGTCTTCGTGAAGCTGTTCGAGCCGTTTCTGGCCACCTTCGTGGCTTCGCTGCACGTCGTCAGTAGCGGAAAGCTCCCCTCTGGTGCCGGCGCCCCCGCCGCTTCCTGGAACTTTGCCAAGGCATTCCAAAGCTGGGACACGGCTTTCGACAAGCTCCTGCGGGGCCTAGAAGACAAAGCCGCACAGGTACGCTCTTTATTCCGCCCCCGCATGCCAGCGAACCCAACAAGTGCCAGGATCGACGGGCCCGCGTAGGCCATGTCCCCCGTCCGCTCTCCGAGTCCAGCCCACCTTCAGACGATTTGAGCACGAGTGAGTGGATATTCTGTTGCTTTGCGTGCTTAGTGGCTCGCATGTCACCATCCGCCTGAACGATGCTGCGTTAACATCTGACCTCGGTGGGCCGCTCACGGTGGCGTACACTCGCGACATGTACCGGTGCCCTCTGTTAGCCGCGGGTAGACACACCAAGCGGACTCTCTGGCGAGAGCGAACGCGACTATGTAGACCGGGAAGCTGCGGACTTTGTTCATCAGTTGCTAATTTGTACCCGCAGTTCCCTCCCATTCAGATACAGCAACCGTCGATGAGGAACAGATAGCACGGAACGTCCAGGCTCTCAAGAATCGTTTACGAGGCCGAGGGGGGCGACCGGGCAGGCGCGGGTCGGCGCGGTCGGACACGGGCAGCGGGAGGGACAGTCATCCCGGCTCCGAGTAAGAGCTTGCCCGCCCATTTCCAATTGATCAAGTCGAAGTAATGTGGTTTTATCATAGCTCCGACACGCCCACCAAGCGCAAGCCAAAGGCGAAGGCCCAACGTAAATGGGGCGATGAAGCCCCGTCCGAATCCGATATGGCGTCGTTAGATTTTAGCTACGAGAAGATTGATGCAAACAGCCAGGCTGCGTCGGTGGATTTATCCGCCCTTGTGGACGAGGGCTCCTTGGGTATGCGGACCCAGGATGGTCTCTACGAGGTCAAAGACTGGGAGTTTTCTAACGGCAAAAGCGATGCGGATGATGTCGTCTCGCAAGTGCTCAAGGGCAACATGCAGCCGGAAAAATCGGCTTCCAGCTCCAGTGTCGGCTCCTTGGGTGCTCTGGGTTCCCTTTTTGCCCGTCTGACGGGATCGAAGGTCCTGACGGAGAGCGACTTGAAGCCTGTCCTTGAGGGAATGAAGCAACACCTCATGAAGAAGAACGTCGCGAAAGATATAGCGGAGAAGGTCTGTGAAGGTGTGGGAGAGAGCCTCGTAGGGAAGAAAGTGGGCGGATTCCAAAGTCAGCGTCCTAGGCTCCTGTTGCGTCGCAGTCCCTCTGAATAACGCTCTAGCGACCAACGCGGCGGTCCGCCTTGCGCTATCGAATTCGCTCACGCGGATACTGACACCAAAAACATCGACGGACCTTTTACTTTCCATTCGAAACAAGCTGTCGTCTCCCCTGCCTTCTTCACAACAAAGACAGCCGTACAGCATCACTTTTGTCGGTGTCAATGGCGTAGGCAAGAGCACGAATCTATCCAAGGTCTGTTTCTGGCTGATTCAGAACGGCATGCGGGTCTTGATCGCTGCCTGCGACACATTCCGGTATGTGGTCACACGTCTGGGAGTACGGAGATACACTGGACAGCAGTTTCTAGGAGTGGCGCTGTCGAACAGCTACGCGTCCACGTACGAAATCTGAGTATGCTCGGTGTCAATGGTGCCACGAACAGCAAGGGCCGAGTAGAGCTTTACGAGCGGGGATATGGTAAAGATGCGGCCGGGATAGCCAAGGAGGCCATCGCACATGGTAAGCGGCCCGCGGTCAGAGCGCTGCGCATTACTCCATTCTGTCCCCTGCAGCTCGAGACAACGACTTCGATGTCGTTCTCATTGACACAGCAGGGCGTATGCAAGATAACGAGGTACGAACGATCTATTCTTGATTGTCATATCTGATGCGATTCCTATTAATCTGATTCGACCAGCCCTTGATGCGAGCGCTGGCGAAGGTTAGTCATCTGTCCAGACGGTCGCGGAAGATGAGATCATGACATCTGCACCCAGCTTGTGGCAGTTAACACTCCCGACAAAATTTTATTTGTCGGGGAGGCCCTCGTCGGGAACGAAGCCGTCGACCAGCTGACGAAGTTCGACCGCGCATTGCGCGACTTTTCCGCGTCATCAGGCGGCAAGGAGCGCGGCATTGACGGTATGCTCGTGACTAAGTGGGATACGGTGGATGACAAGGTGTGTCCTCCACACACGCGTTCATACGTTGATGATGTAGTGGGGATTATGTGCTGACTCGCCATCGGGTGCTTGACAGGTCGGAGCTGCGCTATCTATGACCTATGTCACCGGGCAGCCCATCATCTTCGTCGGCTGTGGTCAGGTACGCTGGAGAACTTCTGCTCCCCCTCACTCCCCGAGACAGCACATGTTCCTAACTGTCTTTCCTAGACTTATACCGACCTACGGCAGTTGAGGGTGGCTAACGTGGTTCAAGCAATTTTGAGCGACTGACGGTTCGACCACAAGCCTTGTGTCTAGTTGTTGTAGACATTCATATCTTACGATCAATAACTATTTCCAGTTATGTTCACATGAGATGGTTCACATGGCCTATTTGCGAGCTTCGACCATCATGTCCGCTGGGCCACAACAATCAGTACTGCAGTGATGGGGTTGTGACAGACCAGTGTGAGCTATCAACTCTGTATTTAAGCCCAGCATGTATCAACATTAAATGTGCACTACTTACGGTGGCAGTACGTGTTACAACTCTTGGACCATCTGCGGAGTTATTTCATGGTACAGACCTGGTCCAGACGGTCTGGAAAGTGAATAATTCCAAGCGCATAGTTCGGCGAGGATAGCAAGTAGATATCCAATATTCAAACATCTGTTGGTACATCCTTCCATTCTACATCATCGCGCAACGAAGAGCGCTTCTCTTTCCACTTTCCGATGCCCCAACTTTGGTGTGCATTTATCCACGGAAGCCATTCTTCATGGTCCTCAGCTTGTCCATGATGGCGTCATCCGAGGACGCCCCAGTTGCGCTCCTGAAACGGGCATCCTGATTTAGTTCAATCCCATAAGATGCAGAAAACCGCGTACTTGATGGGCTCGGTGTGCAAGCGCATGAACGGGTTCCACTCCTTCTCGTTCCCGATGGTTGTGAGGCCGGTGACAACCTTGTTCTCGCGCGCGATGCCCTCGAGGCGCTGCAGGGCGGCGTTCTCTGGGTCGACCGACCTTGCGAACGCGACACTCCCCAGGGTGTACTCGTGCCCGTTGTACACAATCGTGCTGTCGGGCAGCGTCCCCAGGTAAGAGAGCGCCGCGTGCATCTCAGGGGCGGTGCCTTCGAAGAAACGACCGCAGCCGGCGATGAACAACGTATCGCCTGTGAAGACGCCGCCTGGATGGGATGAGGAGCCAGAGGTGGAGGTGGCGTGGTAGCAGATAGAATCTTGTGTATGACATGGGGTCGCAAGGCATCTACAGCGCTCTGAGTAAATGGCGCTCCCAGGTACAATCAGACTGGCGTACTTCACATGGACGGAGTCCCCTATGGTGAATTCATCTTGATCCCCAACAAAATTGGTCAATGCAGGAGTCTTGTTGCTGCCACCATAGATCGGGACTCCGGGGAAAGTAGCCGCCTGAAATGAAGGACATGCGGCATGAGTACTGCAGCGGTCATCGCTAGCCGGATATTATTGACGCACAAAAGCCTAGGGGCGACGTTCAATAAATGAATCTCTCTGAACGATACACCACGTACAAGATTCCCTCCGCTGTGGTCGTGGTGGTGGTGGGTCGTAATGCCTGCCACGATCTGGACACCAGCCTTATCAGCGGCAGCCTGGACCTTGGGGACGTCGTACGGATCGACGGCAGCTGCCTTGCGGGTGGTCTCGTCGACGAGAAGGTAGGCGTAGTTGTCGTCGCGCACGGGGACTGGAATGACCTTCATTCTGGAGATGGCAGAGACAGAGAAAGGTCGGGCGAGGTGGCGTGCGGGGCGGGCGAGGCGGGTGAGGAGCATGAGGAGCACCGATTCCCAGACGCCGAGTCTGCTGCCTCAGCAGGTGAGACTGTCACTGGACCTCAGTTCGTCTGCGCTTTCTCGTCGTCTCTTACTCCTCCCGCATGCAATTCCTACTGTTGGGACGACAGCAGACATGCGGTTGCATAGACGCCACGATCCCAACAGCAATGTATAAACGCCAGGCTTGACAACTTCGAATATGATGGTGATGGCCATCCACGGACAGTTCGCAGCGCACCGCCCTTATGTGCCTTTACATATCTCCTGGTCGCTCTTCGTCCTTCCCTTGTTTATCTGGCGTGCTTGTCCCGCGCCCCACGTCCGCAGACAAGCCTATTAGTGCAGGTCGCTCCTTATATTTATATCTTCTAGTGTGATGGATCCTGTTCAGCATGACTTGTTATCCCAGCCGCTGCCAAAGGTGCGGATTTAGGGAGCCGTATTTTTATGTTCACTGAAATCTATGTGCAGGAGAATGTGTCGTATAAGATTGATCGTGAGTGGCAAGGGCGTCCCAGTTACGAGTTTTCACTTAACAACACACGCGTGAATAGCAGCCCGACTTCTTAGCGCATTCTATTCGTTCTTCTCCGATGTTGCTTCTGCATATACCAAATCCGACCACCATTCCAGTCTCACAACCGCCGGCACCCCGCATCCGACAGCCATCTCGAGCACCCCGTCTTTAACAGCTGTCTCAAGCACCTCGATGGCCAAGGGTATCTCGACGGGCACCTCGAGTGCCCCGTCTTTAACAGCTTCCTCAAGCACCCCGATGGCCACGGGCATCTCGACGGGCACCTCGAGCGCCCCGGCTTTAACAGCTTCCTCAAACACCCCGATGGCCACCTCGAGCACCCCGATAGTCACCCCGAGCACCCTGCATTCAACAGCCACCCCAAGCTCCTCGAACTCGCGTGGAACCGCGTCGACTGCATCGCTCACATCCGCAGTCAAAAAGAATAATGGGGGCACTATCGCTGGTGGGGTTGTCGGCGGCCTAATCGCCCTGTTCTTGCTACTCGGCGCCCTGCTTCTCTGGCTGCGTCACAGGCGGAGAAAGCGCACCGCTCCCTCCAGCGAATTCATGGCTGCTGCGGGGCTCACGCAATCTGTTTCCCGCCCCTCGCCAATGTCTGTCGAGAAAGAGGAAGAAACATCACCAGCGTTCACCTCTGCCGCATGCCCCGACCCGCTTTACGAGAAAGTGCGAGCATACGTAGCGGCAGTACAGCAGCAGCATTATCAGGAGCACGTTCCGAGCCCGTCCAGGTCTTCTTGGGAGAAACCACTAAGAAGCGACAAGAGCTTCCTTATTGAATAGTTGTACGCGCTCGTCCAGTGCAGCGAATGTCGAAGGGTTTCTGATTGGAGTTGCTTTAGAATGTTTATTCGGCAACTGCAGTATACCATATCATTAGTTTGATGGTTTCAGTATCCTTGGTCATTCGGTGTACATCCGTGACTATAGTGTGTTTTTGCACGTATTCGGAAGTCTCACAATCATTTTTTCCATGTGTTGCGCACACTTTGTCTGCTGCGAATCGCAGAGACCTCACGCCCCACTGTTCGCGCTTGTACACTGACATGAGTTGTACCTGAGGTACCCGTTATACGATGCTTTAAGCTCTCAGAACTGAGATTTAAGAAGCCGTGCAAATTTGGAATTAACCATGTCTTGTACATCGCGGATAGAGCCTAGACAGAGACACTATCAAGCTGACCATAGGCGGCCTGTGACCACTACATCATCCTGGGATGGGATGGAACTGAATAAATATATGGCCAAAGTGTAACAATAGTCATGCAAATCCATATACAATTAGATGCTTTTCGGTCATTCCAATGTACCAATGTCTATCCCAATTACGAGTTAAAACCTTGAACGGCATCATACCGAGACACAGGACGTACCAATCAGATCAGTGATATACCTCACATCCCAAAGATCTTGAGGACCGCAGAACGAGCGTAGGGAATGTAAGAAAGCGTGTACCACGTATACGCGAGATACTCTACAATGACAAAGACTGGGTAGCCACCATTGAGCATAGGCCCACAAGCAACTGGTTACTGAACATTGTTGTACTCACTGATACAGAGAACCTGCAGATATGGATAACGGTCAGATATGAACGGCGGCAGGATAGATGACGTTTGACATACGTCACTGTCAATCACATATGCCGCAACGAAAACGAGTACGATAGATGCCAAGAATACAATGGTGGCTACTACTCGAACTGGCTTGAACATCTACAGTTCGCGAACATGAGCTCCATATGAGTGGCCCTAGCATAACAGTTACACACAAGTTTAAATTGCTTCATGAACTGTGCAGATGCAAGTCACTAGTCAGCTAATGATCAGGGTTCGGATGGCTCGCACGACGCACCCCTAGCAGGAATCCCGTCCCGACTAGCGAGATGATGGTTCCCAAAGCATACAGCACTGCGAGATGTACAGCATAAGGCAGGTCGAAGCGAGATAACTAAGGTATCATACCAGCAAACGTCCCAAGCTGTCCTACAAAGAGGAGGATGCTACCCAGTATACTGAGAACGAAACCAATGGCCAGACTAGACATCAAATGTCGTCACCGCAGACAACTGGCTCGCTCATTGTGCATAGGGAGTAGATATATTAAATGCTCACCAACCACCAAATCCATACAACCTCTGCGTTCTAGTTAAACCGAGAAACTGAAATGCCGAATCCCCCTCAAAGAACTGCGTCTCGGGTATAGTTCCCGCAGCAGCCTCAAGATTGAACCATCCCTTGGAGGCCATTGTCGTAATCAATAGTTGTAGCTTATAGGCGTGCCTGAGAGGTCGTTAGAAGAAGAGACAGCAGGTTTTGGTTACTGAATCAGGGGGTGCGTGTGGTAGTCGTTGGCGATCGGCGAAAGCAGTCCGTACGCTAGCCGTCGTACGCATTTCTGTTTCCGTCCGCAGCGCGCCTGCCACGTGTTGCCGACTGTGCCTTCACCGGAATCAAGACGGCTACAATACTCTTACAACGCGTCGAAATCCAACTTGACAGATTCCAGCTGAAACATCCACACAACTGGCTCGCCGTAGGGTGAGATAAAAGGACAATGTTATTTTCTCACTACTATGCGCGCGTAAGGTCGTAGTCGTCGTTACATGAAATTGCTACAAGGATTTTCGTTTAAGCTAGAGCCCCAAGATCATGAAGAACGTAAGTAGGTCATAGCAAAACTAGTTTGCATATCGTGAATGGTAAAGTGCAGATGATTTTAAACAAACAAAACGTCATAGCGAACACACATATTCCTAGCTTACTTTCATGCACAGCATTGACGAAGTGGAACCCATGGGAGAGTAGATAAAATATGACAGAATCTATATCGGCTTGCGACTGAGGATGTCTTGAATGTCAGTAATCGCGCGGGATGCCTCAATTGGCGTGCCGGGCAAGATAATGAGACGCTGCTTGGTTGTGTTCAACATTTGCAGAACGCTGGGCAGGACTCGGGAGATGTAAGGCGCAATAAGCGGATCCTGACATTATGGTGTGGTTTCAGCAACTTGGTTTGCAGAGTATCGCACAAGAGCTTACCTGTGTGTTGAGTGTGGAAGCAGCCCGCTGCAACCACCACATGGACAACTTAAATGAGTCGTCGAGAGGCGATGTTTCGCCCACTACGGACGAAAGCTAGACACCACGATTCCAATCAGATTTGTAACGACAGTCGCCGCCGGAAAACACTCACCCTATGTACGAGTGTCAGAACAACGGCTTGAGAAAGTAAGGTAGGACCGTTCAGGGGCATGATCACATCTGGCTTTGAACGAGCAAGCAATTCTCTAAGTTGTCTAATATCTTGCGTGCCAAGCACGGCTAGATAGGTGTCATCCCATTCCTCAGACTGGGCTGGGCTGGAGCGCACCACCGGCGGTTGTGGTAGTGGAGGAGGTACGGCTGGATGCGATGCCTGAGGAGCAGCAATATTTGCGTTGAACCAGCCCGCATGCATAGCAGGCGGCTGCGGTTGCTGCTGATATGTCGAATGCGGCTGTGAGGCGTAGGGTTGAGGTTGCGTGACGGGAGGTAGTGTTTGCTGGCGCATCAGCTGCGACAGACTCCCCTGGGAATGCTGCCCGTTGCTGGGCGCACCAGGCGAGTTGCGCGTTTGGATCGATGGCGGCACGGCCGAGGCGTTCATAGTAAGGAATTTAACTTGATCAGACAACAAACGAACCGCTGATTCAAGCTCGCGTATTAAAGACTGCGTGATATATGAGTCAATTTCATAGTATAGAAAATCGATAACCGACCTCTTGGCCTCGGAGAGCTTCAGTCTGCCAGGTGATAACTTCTTTCTTGAGGCTCAAAATCTCGGAGCGGATTTCGCGAGACAGCTCTTGATGCATTGCCGACGATTGCTGTGTATATGCGGGTATGAGAGTCTTCGTAATTGCATCCTTGACGTGTTTCTCGATGACGGGCGTCACAGCTCCGGTTACGCTACGAGCAATATGGGAAGAGACGTCAGGCCGGAGCAGCATCCTCTCAATTTCGTTGGGAAGATTCTATAAATGCTTGAGCTTATCAATCAAAGACAAGCAGATGCACGACGAACCTGCTTCATCGACTCCGAAAGGCCCTTTGAGATTTGGTTGTTGAGTGCCGACTTCACTTCGGTCTTGGTGATGTTCTCAAGAGACGGTAAAACCGAACTCTGTACTTCCGTCTTCACCGCCATTTCGACCACACGGGTAGTGTTCTTGGTCAACTCCGTCGAGATCAGCTTCAGAATCTTCTCTTGGCGAAGGAAGTCGGCTGCCTGCTCATTAGCGCGAGCTTCCTCCAATCGTTGATCTGAAAGCAGATGAGATTCAAAGGTTGTATGTCGAGTATTCAGGCCACTCACGTTGTTTGTCCAGTTCTTTACCAATCAAGCGTCCAATGCGAGTGTGGATATTCTCCTCCACCTTTCTGATTTCTTTGGACAGTGCGACTCCAAGGGGCGACTCGTTGATGACTGTGGCATCGCCACCGCGACCTCTGCCGTCCTTCTCCTTCTCCTTATTATCCTCTTTGTCTTTCTCCTTCCATCCGACCTTACTCTTAACATTCCTACCCCTCGACTCCTGAACACGACCGCTTTCGTCTCTGACGTGCTCGGTGTCGACCTCTTCAGACGGGGGCGTCTTTGCCCTAGGTGGACCCGCTACGGTCAAGGGTGGCTGAGAGGGTTGATTGACAGGCCCACTTGTGATGACGGGGGGCAGCTGCTGCCTAGTAGGCTTAGAATCATTCGACAATGTTGCCTGCGGTGACGATAGATAATCCGGGAATCTGGCGGGCGCAGAAACTAGAGCAGAGTCGAACCATTCCCTTCGTATGAGCACTTGATCAACGCCGGTAGAATGTACAGAGAAAGCGACCAGAGCCAGGTCACCGGGGGGAACTTTCGCCGCCACACAGGCAGCATTAGCCTCCTCGCCTGTGGGATCCGCGTCCGCAGTTAAAATCACGAAGTGAATAGTCGGTTTAGGCCCCAGGAACTCCAGCACTTGGTCAAAGTATGCGCCTCGTCCAACATCCTCACCTCCGGGAGATGGCGAAGATGAATCGAAATTAATCTTGAGCGCAATCAGGCTGTCTCTACGATTGTTGGCAATCCAAAGGGTATGGATTCGTGAGTCATAGTTAACGTGGCCGAACATATCCGGATCTTCTTGCTGGCCGTTGACGAATTTGACAGTAGACTGAATATACCTTCCCATCACTGGTAACAGCTGGAAAATAGTACCATTCTTACGACCCACAACAACACCGCCTTCGACAAACGTCAATGAGGAAGGGGTTTCATCGCCACGAATCTTGTGCGACCAGAACGGGACCTTATCGCTGATGTGCCACATCGTTAGGGTAGAGTCCTCAGAGATCGTAGCAATTGCGAAGCGAGGAACATCAAAGTCCAATGCAACAATCGGCTTGAACAAAGGACATCAATACATCGTGAATGAGCAACATAGAAAGCATACACACTGAAGGCACGGAGAAGATCAGAGCAACGCGATGCAAATCACTTTGCCTAATGGGCTCGCCACCAAAGACATGCAATGCATCTTCAATATTGATCAAGTACACATTCGTGGCCGACGCCACGGCAACCAGATCTGGTTGCTGAGGGTGCCACTTCACCGCCTGCAGAGGTTCTGTATCTCTCGAGGGCTCAACGCATAACATAATTTTTCCTCTGAAATCAGGATTCGTCAGGAAGCTACAAAGCAAAGGCCTACGTTGTACGTACGGCACATCGTCTGTGATGATCTCTGGCAACTCCCACACGACAAACCCACCATCAGAGGTCACCCCTGCGAGTCGGTTGCTGTGAACAGACATATCGCTGACTGCAGCACCTGAAGTGAAGAGAGGAGGCAACTGCAGGAGAGTACGATCGCCACTGGATCGCGAAATCACACGAACACGGCCTGCAGAGAATTGAGAACATAACCCATAGCAATGAAAGGAATACAGACCTTTCGTCATGGCATATGCAACCCAATGCGTCGCTCCAATCGTCGTACCCGGCAAGAACGCAGAATCCACCTTGACGAGCGCTATCGCGGTTGTCTTGACAGCTTCGCGAGAAGCTGATATCTCTTTGAGGTGTTGAGAAACATCGAACACGATACTCTGAGGCTGAGAGCTATGCAATGGTTCAGTTTCAAAACAATAATTTGGCAATCAAAAACTTGAAGAACGAACCTCGGGCTGCTATTCTTTCCTTTGGGACCTCTACCTCTGTTCTCCTGTCCAGGATTCCGAAATCCCGACCCACGAACGGGCGAGACTTCCTTATCCCTTCCGGTTGACGGCCCATAAATGGCAGGTCCTACAGGAGAGTCGCGCAGTGGACGGGGTACAAGATTACTCTGAGACTTTGGAGATGCTCGGGGAGGTGAAGGGGCGTGAACAGGCTGTGGAGGGAGAGGTCGAGACGCTCGCATCTGTACAGGCTCAGCCTGGGGTGAAATCTCCTCGCTAGGAGCATAGGGATCATAGGGAGAACTTGACGATGGCACTGAGCCAGAGAGGGAAGCCTGCCCTCTCGTCAACTGCTCCATCAAGTTTTCTACAGATTTTCGTTTGGGGTCGATACCAATAGATGGCCACGTCGGCTCTTCAATATTACCTGATACAACAGGCTGTTGCTGGGGCGGGGGCTTACGCTTGATCGACCCAGATGTGTTCGCCAACGCATCAAAAGGAGAAACAAATTCGAAAAGAGACCTGCGGGCAGGCGAAGGGGCACGTTGCTGACCTGCTGGAGGACTCAGCATGTCAGAGGGCTCCCTCGATGCCTCCGAAGGGTGTGATGTATCCTGTGCAGAAAATTCGTTGTCATGAGGCGGAGCCTGCTCGGGCCCGCTTTGGAGATAAGTTGGAGAAGGACCAGTGGTCGACAGAGGGGGATACTGAGGTTCCGGATAGTTATATTTTTGCGCATTGCTACTCTCGTTACGGACACAAGAGGAAAGAAAGGGCGACACGTTAGCGCGCCGAAAGAAACATGCAGAACAAATGAAGAAAAGTGCGCATTGAATGTCATATTCCCGCAAAGGTAGGCCCGATACGGCAGCGATCATATCGCATTTAATACCTCACATCGCGTGGAAGGACATAACTCACCCTGACATGAGCTGTTCCAGCAGCAATTTGCCCTGCGTCTCATTGTTCGACATTGTGTTTCTCGGCGCGGAACCAGGGGGTGTAGGAACCTGCTGGGGAGCGGCACCGCCGACAGGAGGAAGTTGTATACTGGCTACAGGGGCTGAGACAGAGCCAAGCAGAGTCAACAGGGCATTCTGCCTTTCAACAGTAGGATTCGTGGGGGCGGACATGGAGGAAGAAACTGAACCAGCGTTCACAGAAGCTGGGCTAGCGTGCCTCGAGTTGGTATGCTCTTGGGACGGCAGATAGATATTGGAACTGGTGTGACTTGGCTGCGGGCTAACATGCGAAACGGATGGGGCGTTCAGGGTGTTGAAGAGATTATCGAGTTGAGTAGTGGAGGGTGCGGGGGGAGGATCAAGATGTGAAGGTGCAGGCGAGACGTGCTGGTCGCTCGGCTGTGAGGGAGGCAGCTGGAAGGGCTGCTGAGAGGGAGGAGGTGAAGGGCCTCGGGAAAAGAGATTGTCTCTGGAATTAATAGGATCCATCGCAGTCGTCGCGTATCAAAGACTGCAGACGAGAGACTATCGAGGAGGAGAGAGAGAGCCGGAATGCAGCACGCAGAGTCGAGAGTCTTACACAATCCTGGGCGGGGTTGCCTCGTTGAGAACACGAGGTTGCTCGGCAACGCCCGGCTATATGGGTCGAAGGCTTGCCTCGCCTCGCTTTGGCTCGCAGGTCATGGTCCATCACCATGCGTTCCCAGCCGACACGACCACAGCATCGAGGCACTCGCACATTCGCATAACTTCCCGCCATTCGCGAGGCATAACCACCCACAACTGACCCACAGCCAGCGGCATTTTCGGTGACTCATAAACAATGGCCCCGCACCTCACTCGTCCTGCTTTTGCCCACAAACCGTGTAAGGCGCGGGTAGGATCCGCGGAACATGAGGATGATGACATTTGCTATCGTACCACCACAAGCACTGAATCCGATAGTCACGCCTAAACAACGTTGATGCCATACGTGTACTGCGACGGAACTAGCATGTCTAGGTGGCTTGCTCGTCCATGCGTTCACGGCGCACAACTAAATACCCTGAATCAGTGGGCAGAATTGTGAGGGCTGTAGGCGATATCGGCGAGCAATTAGTGACACACAAAACATACTGGTCATCGCATGCTATACCTGCTCATATTCGTCTAGAAATAGATATCATGGCCAAGACGTGAGTGGTATTCAGGACACTTCGAAGGGAGAGCATACTGAAGGTCATCTCTGAATTCGAGCATCTTGATAATGACCTGCAACTCCAAGCAAAGTTCTTGCACGGTGGGCAATTGACGAAGTTCGGCGGTCGAACATGCGTCGGGAACTGGTCGCGAGACTCTATCGCATTTCCCTGCAGTGTTCGGAGCACGATCACTCGGCCAGACTTTACATGCAAAGAACATTGCAAGTGGACCAATCAGAGGCTACCGATCTGCCATGTTCGGTGCCCGAATGTAATCTAATGCTCGAGCCCAGAAAATGGAGTGATAATGCGATCTCTTTTGGCGCATATTCGGTACATGCTCGACGGTCGGACATCGCGTTTTGCCCACGGTGTTGCTATACGGTAAATTGTCGTCCACGGTCCATGGGCCTTTCATTCACTGAACGGGGGACCCGGGTGTACTTAATTCAGAAGAGTCCCTGAATTGAGAGTCCCAACTGGCCGTGCCTGAATATCTGCCATATACGTGCAAACAGCCCACGCAACGATAAGATAACATCAGAAGCTGACCTTTGAAATCAAGCTAGATGCCAAGGTCATGGACTACCTACACTAGTAGCCGAGCCCAACATAAAGAACTCTAGAACTGCAACAATTACGTCTTTACGGAGGCAATGAGACTTTTCTGCGTCGCGTGGTATCCTGTAGTGCGACTCAAGGAGCCAACTATGACGGACATGTCCGAAAGCTTAGATACTCACCCATGATATAACGACCAACCTCGTACCTTTCGAGGTCACTTTTGAGAGATAGCATAGGAGACAAGACAGAGCCACTAACAGATGATCCAAGAGAAAGACAGCTGCCAAAGGTACGCTCATCTATAGGTGTTATCGTGCGAGTGCCCAGGCCGAGCGATACAAAAAATCGAAGGACCTTGTCCAGTATCATCAGGAGACAGATAATGGGGTCTAGGGGAAGCTGGGAGCAGAGAGATTACTTCTAAATCAATAACCCAGGAACGACAAGTGCCCAAGAGGTCATTCAGTATCTGCACATTTGCGGGCATAACGCGGCAGAAGAGGCTTCATACTTATCGTGCCCGTGTTGTCTGCGATTTTCGATATGCCACAAAACCATTCGGGCTAGTCTACACCATTCAATTGAGCTAATTCCGCCGCTGTTGATGTGACAAATTGATTCGTAGAGCTCCTGATAGACATGTGAGCAAGTATACTGAACATGAGTGAAGCGAGCAATCTTACTGGCCGAGTTACAAGCGAGAACGATACCTGGGGGCTGACTGAAGCCGGTACAAGGGCCCACCTGATCTCCAAGTCAACGTCCTGTCGTGCTGTGACTCGTGAGTGATGATATGGGCACCACATCATGATGCGCCAATACGTAGAGAAGCATAGCTGGGCAGCCTTATTGCCATTTAAGTGCTGGTACAATCGTGAACGAGCAATGCCTTTTGAAATTGCATAACGTGCATATGGTAGAGGTATTAATCGGTTTGCCCATCCGCATGCTAGACTATAATTGGCTCGCGGATTGGACGCGACACGTGTTCTTGGATGAAGAGGGATATAAGGCGAGCCCTGCCTCATCTCTCCGTCAGTCTTCACCACCCATCTAACCCACACAATCGAAGCCAGCTCACTTTCGCAAATAATGTTCACTGTTCGTTATTTCTTTTTTAACTTGACCTTACTACGCCTTTCTAACTACCTATTCTCCAGGCTACTGAAGTTCCCAAGAACGCTGCCAACTGTGGCTCGAGCAACTGCAAGTGCGGCGACACGTCTGTATCATTTTCCGATATATTTCGAGGCAGCGTACTTATTGATGGATTTGCCACCAGTTGCCAGTGCAAGGTCGGGGAATGCAAGTGCTGAGCGTCATGCACCCTATGCAAGCTTATTTCTTGTAACACTATGCGATCGTCGTTGCCATCCGCCGTGTATACGAAGTGTACTTTGGAGTTCTGTAATGATATCGCTGAAGAGCAGCTAGCTGCAAGCCTGATGTTAAAATGGCAGTGAGAGTGTGAAAATGAAAAGCATAATGTGCTTCAGGTCAGCGCGCGAGTACATATTCGATTCAGAATATCAGCCAAGAATCTAGGAACCAATAGAGCTGAAACAGCTTCCGATAGGTCGGCAATAATACACTGTGAATTCTTACGCGTTGGTCTGAAATCTATTAATCCCCTCCGCTGCGGAAGCTGTGAGAATGGTGCTGGCTTCGATGTATTCGAGATGGCTTACTCAAATCTTTGTATCTCTGCTTCCGCATGGGATCAATGTCCTGTAGGACTGCTAAGAGAACTAAGCAGCTTTGTATGATTTGTTGACGCTGAGCATCATTCAAACGACTGGTATGATTCTGTAGCGTAAGCTGTTTATAGAAAACCAGCGACTCCATGCACCCTAGACCCGTGATCAGATACGTCGCTCAAATCCGTTCTGAAAGTACACACATTTACTGTCAGGCTGCTCGTCTAATAGTTCTTGAACAGAAGCGATCTCTCTGGAAAGAATTGCATAGTCTTTGCCTAGTTGTGCATCTGAGTAGTGTATCGAAAAACATATCAATTACATACCTTGTCCCACCAGCCATCGATGATAGATCCATACACTCTGGTCGCCCGGGTCCGTGTACATCGCATTCTTTACTAGATCGAACTCTGGCAGAAATGGTATCTATTTCAGCGATGTGAGCCGCACTTGCCAGTCAGGAATTCATTACCTTTTTCCCTGCATATCTCAGGGCTGAGCTTCCCTTGATCCCAAAGCGACGTAAGAACTTTGGAACGTTGATGCCATGCGCTAAAATTGGAGAAATTGGCTTCGATTTTTCGAGTGGTGTATGCTAGTTCCGTTTGCTCGGGTCGTTTCACCGGCATACTGGACAAAACATATCGTCGATAGTTCCATGCAAGGACTGTAGCACTATCAACACGCGCAAAACGTGCGCCAGAGAACATTACGCCTTACAGTTTCGTGCATCGACATCGAGCATCTTCTCTACCACAAATAGTTCTTTGTTCCAATTGGATATCCTCCAGCCATCCGCATCATCCTGCGTGGGACCATCCGGGACGGCTTCTAGACACCAACGACGATGGTTCCAGATCCAATAGACTTTGGGGTGTTGCTTGAGATGTGTCATAGTAAAGGATAGATCGTTCGATAGGATATCATTTACTTGAGAAGGTTCACTTAAGAGAGGTACTCCAGTCACTGTCCCAGGAGCAGTTGAATAATTAAAACCACATACCTAGTTGGGAAGATGCCATTGAGGAAAATATCTCTCCTGTAGTTCCAGACAGTGTAGAGCTCCGGGTTGATCTGGAGTACGCGGGTAGTCAATTCCAGTGCATCTTTGCTCCAGTCTTTCCGTTTTCTCTGAAAGCGCAGAAGCAGTATAACCACCGCATACGGTATTTAGAATACTCAACGCACCCTCGCTAAGACAGAGTCGGCCAAAATTAGGTATTCTTTAAGCTTCGCTTGCTCGCGCTGTTTCTTAGCCTCTAATGCCTCTTGAGTGTAGCGCACTCGTTTGACGCTGTGCTATTGAGGAATAAGTCATTTTGCAGATCAGATACATTCAACGAACAAACCATGATTTTGGGCTATTATCAACGGAGATTGTATGGTGACAGTGCTGCGAGAAGGCAGTTCGGCGAGTGAAGCGGGCGTCTACACGACCTCGACGCGTGCAGCCACCGTTAGCTCGCTCATCCACTCTCTCCATCCTCGGTGGCCTGGTCTTTTGGCCGTTATGCCCGTACCTGTATCTACCACTCCTTCATTGGAGTCGCTGACGGATATCTTTCCCGTAACCTTCCCTGTTCCAACACCTACAACACACCCGGACCTTGTTTCAACACGAGACGTTGTCCGTGAAGAAGACCTTCTCCGAAATCCTTTCTCCTTCCGGCATTGGTGGGCAGCCATACAAAACACCAAGGAGGCCTCTTCTGCCCTACTGAAAGCCCAAGGACCTTCAGATCTGAGTCCGGATGTTGCTGCTCTGCTTGGGCCCTTGGCTTCACCTGTTGCTCGCAAGTCTCTTCAACGCCTGACATATCTTTACGAGGCTGCGCTCGCGCAGTTCCCTACGTCATTCAAGCTATGGAAATCTTACCTCCAAACCCGGATGTCGTATGTTTTGGGTAAGTTGATTGTCAAGAAAAGGGCTGGTGGCAGGAAGAAATTCCCGGAAATGAGAGAAGCATTAGAAGATGAGAAGGAAGATATGGAACAGTGGGAGGGAGGTTTGGATGGTGTTGTCGGATGGGAGGAGTGGAAGGCACTGATTGCAACATTCGAACGCGCTCTTGTGTGGTTACCCAAAGTATGTCCAATCAAAAGCACACCGTCAAGTATGACTGATAGTCCATTTAGATGCCGCGGTTGTGGCTGCTCTACTTGTCTATATTCAACCATCCGTTTTGCCCTCCGTTAGTGTCACACACCCATGTCCGCCGCACTTATGACCGCGCTTTCCGAACTCTTCCGCCATCTCTTCATTCACGCATATGGGCTCGTTATCTGCTTTGGGCTGAGGGAAAAGGTGGCGCGACAACAGTTGCTGTGTACCGACGCTACCTAGCTGTCGATCCTAGCGTTACTGAACGGTACACTGCCCTTCTCCTGTCAGAAAACAATTCCGATCCACGACCACTCGAAGCAGCAAAACTACTTCTCTCTTTGGCTCGTAAAGCAGCGAGAGGAGAATACACTAGTCCAGAAGGCAAGAGCCCATACCAGCTATTAGGTGATTTCTTGGACGTGGTTGAACAACATGCAGAGGAGGTGGGTATGGATGTAGACGACACAGTTGAATCGCATGAGGCACATGCGAGAGAAGAGGATGCACAAACGACATCAGTTTCTTCCTCCGAACCGGCCTCTGTAAATGGCAAGCTCATCCGCTTCGCGGGTCCTGCTGTTGCTGTTAGTGCCGATGGCAAAACACCGCTTGCGCCTTTTGACGAGGACGAGGACCCCACAAGTCTGCGGAAGCTCAACATAGAACGAATCGTTCATAAAGACGGTCTGGACGTATACAAGGACCAGGCGGGTCGCTTGTGGACAGGGCTGGCAACGTATTGGGTAAAGCGAGGCGAGTTCGATCGTGCCAAGATGACATTCGAAAATGGCATCGCTTCTGTTCTCACTATCCGGGATTTCACGCAAATCTTTGACGCGTACGCGGAGTTTTCGGAGAGTCTGATCAGTGCTATGATGGAAAGCTTAGCCAACCCAGACGATGAGGAGGATGAAGAAGACGTCAAGGAAACAGAGGCTGAACTTGACGTGAAGATGAAGGAGTTTGAAGAGCTCATGGACCGGAGACCATTCCTTGTCAATGATGTACTCCTGAGGAGGAATCCAAATGACGTGCAGGAGTGGGAGAAGCGAGTGGCATTATGGGGCAGTAACGATGAAAAAGTCGGTAGTCTGTTCAATATTCAAAACGTCAGATGGGGGATTGATGAGTTATTTTGACAGGTTGCAGAGACATACGGCCAGGCTCTGTCAACTGTCGTCCCCCGCAGAGCAACAGCGAATTTCCACCGTTTGTTCATCAACTTCGCGAAATTTTATGAGGAAGGTGGTACGACAGGAGAAGCAGAGCACGACTTGGATAGCGCTCGGAAAGTTTTGGAGAAGGCAACAAAAGTCAACTTCAAGTCTGTAGACGAACTGGCCGAGGTCTGGTGCGAATGGGCGGAAATGGAGATTCGACATGAGTATGTACTTCCGGAAGCCCGATTAACGTAGGAAAGTTCTCACTTGGACTTGCAGGAATTACGACGATGCAATTCGAGTGATGCAACGAGCCGCTGCTGTTCCGAAGAACACCAAGGTCAACTACCATGAGCACGTATGTTTGTCTGGATTTCCTTTTTTCCCCATTACTAAGCTCCTTGCAATGTAGTCATTATCAGTTCAAATGCGTCTTTTCAAATCGCTGAAGCTCTGGTCATTTTATGTGGATCTAGAAGAATCACTTGGGACTGTAGAATCCACGAAAGCGGTGTACGACAAGATTTTGGAGCTTCGCATAGCAAACGCGCAGGTCATCGTCAATTATGCAGCTTTCCTTGAAGAGAACAAGTACTATGAAGAGAGCTTTAAGGTGATACTCGACGTCATTCCTCTTCGATAGGTGCTCAGCATCATCTATGCAGGTCTATGAGCGCGGGACTGAGCTGTTCACATTCCCTGTATCCTTCGAAATATGGAACATTTACCTTGCCAAGTTCACCAAACGATATGTAAGTCAACTTTCTTCGTAGCACAAAGCGTATTGTCTTGACGGAATTCCTGATCAATACAGGGCGATTCGAAAGTGGAACGTGCGCGAGACTTGTTCGAGCAAGCATTGGAGAAATGTCCAGACAAGTTCTGCAAGCCAATATTCATGATGTACGCGGCATATGAGGAAGAATTTGGCCTAGCAAAACGGGCGATGTCTGTATATGATCGTGCAACACGTGTGGTTGCCGACGAAGACAAGTTCGAAGTGAGTGGGATTGTTTGTCGAGCTATCAAGCCTCGATGATTAATTGATATGTCTAGCTATTCACTATCTACATCGCCAAAGCGACCGGCAACTATGGTCTTCCTGCCACTCGTCCAATATACGAGCGGGCGTTGGAAGTGCTCCCAGACAAGCAAACTGCCGAGATGTGTCTGCGGTTCGCAGCAATGGAACGCAAACTTGGTGAAATCGACAGAGCGCGTGCGATTTACATACACGCATCGCAATTCTGTGATCCTAGGGTCAATCCCAAGTTCTGGGCGGAGTGGAACACCTTTGAGATCGAGACCGGCTCGGAGGACACATTCCGAGACATGCTTCGGATCAAGCGTAGTGTCCAGGCCCAGTTCAACACCGAAGCATCGTACCTAGCAGCACAGATGGCCGTAAAGGAGAACGGAGACGCGCAAAAAGAGGACGTGGAGGTGCCTGCGGATCCTATGGCTGCGGCCGAGCTACAAGCTGGCGGAGTCAAGGGGCCTGCCTTCGTTTCTGCACAACAAAAACTTCCACCTACTGAAGAGGAAGAGGATATGGAACCTGCGTCCGGGCCAGGCAATGCGGACGAGATCCATATATCGGATGATGAAGACGTATAGTTATTGCCGTTGTATTGTGTTGTCGCTTGTTGTATATTGCTCTGCATCTATTTTTGACCGTTCCAGCGGTCGATCTCCACTGCGCATAGGTCTTCCCAGCGAGCTTCCCAGCCGCCGTCTTCAAGGAATGGCTGCGCCGCCCATTTTGCTATCGCCTCGCGTGAGACGTCGAAACTCACGTTGTGAGCTCGTAGAGATTGCATGATTTCTGCATGCATGGTTAATGAGCGATGGTAGGGTATAAGTATATTTGGGATGGAAATGACTACCATGGACGTCAGCAGCCGTCAGGAGAAAGATGTCGCTACGTACCGAATTTCTCCAATGACCAGGTTACCCACAAGGGTTCCTGTACCCATCTCCAGCCTTTAACTTTGTGCGCTTCACATAGAACAGATTCCATGTTCTCGATGATGTGATTCATCTTCATAAATTGCTTCTTCTGCGAGTGGAGTGAGCGGGGGAAACGGATGGGTGTTAGCAGACAACTTACGAGCTTCGTTTCGACAGCATCCAAATCAGATATGTATTGCTCCATCAAAGCGATCTTCGGCCCTACCAAACGATACGTTGGTTGTGTTTTTGAGAAGGCGTGGAGCGCGTTACTGCCAAAAAAAGATGTTAGGGTCGGAAGACAGCCGAAGGGCGACTACAATGGTCCGGACACTCACTCCAAGTCAGTTCTGGTGTCCACTAGGCCTTTGGCTGCTTTCAAGCCATCCATAAGAACGATGTCTTCCCATGTCTCCGTGACTGCGCGCAGCTCTTGCAATAGCGTCCGGATTTTGCGATGATAAGTAGACTCGGTGAGTCTGGAGGGCGAAGATGGGGCACTTGGAGACTTTATCCGCACAGGGGAAGCGCTAGGCGTCGATGGGCCTTTAAAAGAGGCGAGACGGCTCATTACCCCAGGCGAGCGGATCAGAGAGACGGCTCCAGACAAGATACAATGATAGGCGCCAAGCTGATCGCGTTCGGTATAAAATCCAGATTAGGTAGGTTAATACCTGCTCTGAGCCGCTTCCGAATCTTGACAAGTGACTACTCCCGTCGAAAATTCGCCATCCGTTTCGTTTTTGCGTTGAAAGCCATGGATCCAGCGGACACCTCGAATCTCATGCGATCGGAAGCGGAGCTACTTCTGCAGGAAGTATGTATGCTGGCGTATGCTTATGTCCGCTCGGCTGACTCTCGCGTTCAAGTCGCGCAAGAAAAAAGCAGAGAAAATTAAAACTCTCGGCTCGCCGATAGAGCTCGCAGGTGTAGCTCTCGGACTCGAGATCCGAGGGAATCATGCCTGGATAGCGGAGAACACAGCCGTCGCCAGGAAAGTGGACCTCGAGGTCGTTCTTCTCGGATATGCGCGACTCTGATCCTCTCTGACACTGATACGACTTTCAGACAGGAAGAACGCTACAGCTTTTCCGTGGACACAGCGCGCCACTAACATGCCTCGCGTTTTTTGACAAGGTGCAGGGCTCGGGCGCGGGCGATATGCTGGTCACTGGGTCTTGGGATAAAGTGACGAACATGTTGTGAGACGTATGTCAGCTACTGATCGAGCCGCGCAGACCATCAAAATATGGGATACCGCGGCACGTTTCTAGTTGGCATTTTTTGTTGCAGCCGACTCATTGACAGGCGCACGTATTCGGTGTTTAGACTAAAAAACTGATCTCCTCGACCCTGGCACACTCGGATTTTGTCAAAGCACTCTTCGTCATACCCTCTCTGCAACTCCTCATATCCGGAAGCTCGGACAAAATTGTCCGGTTCTGGTTCGTGCGTGATGATCATTCTGACCTACGTCTACTGACGACCGCCCAGGGATCTCTCAGCATACCAGAATGGCCAGCCGCTGCAGTCAACGGGATCGATTTCTGCGCACCTCAGACCTGTAGAAGCCTTTAGCGCACGAGTTATGGGAGATTCTGCGATACTTTATACGGCAGACACCATGGGCATGATGAAGGTGTGGAAACTGACGAGGGAAGACGGCAGCGCGTCACGGTGGAAAACCACCCTTTTGGAAGAACTGAACCATCACCGCACCCGGATCAACGAGATCGTCTGCGACAACGGGATGCTGTGGACAGGTGAGTGCAATTCAATTTGTTGTGGCCCGCATAGACACCGACGGCCGATCACCCGATCCACAGCCTCGTCCGACGACACCGTACAAGTCGTTCCGGCCGATACATCCACTGCGTCGTCTACGTCCAAGCCCGCGCCGCCCATCGTCCACCCCACCGCAGTCAGAGCCGTCCTGCCGCTGCTGGAGAACTACCTGCTTACCGGCGCGGGGGACGTCATCCGCCTGTACGACGTGTGCGCGCTGGACGAGCCGGAGCTGCTGTCGGAGGTAGACGGGCACTGGCACGACGTGACTATGCTGCGCGTCTGGATGCGCAAGCGGCCGCAGGCAGAGGGCCACCCGAAGGGCGCGGTGGCGGTGGAGCCGTGGGTGGTCAGCGCGAGCCTGGACGGGACGCTGCGGAAGTGGAACCTCGCTGGTGAGTCGTGTGTCGTGCGCGTATGTCGCTTCGGGCGACAGATGCGAACGCTGATCGGTGCGTTCGGGCGTGCAGACATGATGCAGAGTTCGGGGCCGAAGGCTCCGCCGCAGGCAGAGGAGAAGCCGCAGAAGCTGGCGCCGACGGGCGCGTTCCAAATGTCAGAGGAGGAAGAGCGGGAGCTTGCAGAGCTGATGTCGGACGACGATGAGTAACGGCGCAGCGCTCATCTTGTGCGTAAGAGTTTGACTCGCTGCTACTACCCTTATCTGGATTTGTTGCTGGGCAGTTAGTAATGAAAATTTCGGCGTTGTGGCCAGCCATTTCGGTGTCGATTTCGATTCTGACCAGGACAATGGTGAGAGAATCGATAGTGTGCGGCGTTCTCCTCATTCCTTCCTGCCCAACTCGTCCGACGATGTGGCTTGCATTCTAGTGAACGGGTGCCACTACATCCGCCGACTTCTGCAAGAATAGAGTAGCATTCCATTTTAAGAAAGTCAGAGGATAGCAACTTGAGCCTACCGGGGAGTTCCCCTCAGGGGCGGTCGGAGCCAAGTACAGGAGCTTTCCGCTTCAGGCGGTATCCGCTCATGGGAGCATAGCGGCGGTCTCAACTTTGTGAGTGCCTGTCGTCACCTTTCGCCTCCCACCTTCAACCAGCCACGCCCGCCAATTTGTTACCCCGCTTCACACTCTCGCAGCGCCATTCGGACAGTTGGATTGGTCGCTATGCACTCTTCGGCAGATCGCGAAGCACACGCTGCACGGTCGATTCAGGGCAGAATCGACGAGTTTCGCGAGGTGAGAGAACGTGTGAAGCGGGGGCTGGAGGAGCTCCAGGAAGGCACGGCGAGACTAAAGGAGGACACCGCGCAGCTGAGAGAGGACATCGCCCGGCTGCGAGCGGACATAGGCTTGCCGAGGGTGCGTCTCACTTCATGCGTTTATTGCCGAGTCTGCATGCACGGACAGCGGGCTGAAGCTAATTTCATCAGAGATCCAAGCCCCCGCAGAAGCCGATTGAAGTGCGCCTCGAACCGAGGAGCATAGACACTTTGCCGATCGTGACTTTGACTTTGATCCCAAACTCCTTTTGAAAAACGTTCAGGTTGTATACCATGGGGTTCAGGTTTTTTACATCCGAGATATATAGCAAGTAGAGTGTGCGGCCGCACCGGTACGAAAGAAATGAAATGGTCATCTTCTCACAGCTTCGTTCGGGTTATGAGCTGGGCGTTCGCGTTTTGCACGCTTGCAGCTGCCGTAGAGACTAGTTCGTCGACTCTGCATGTTCCGCGCTTAGGAAAATACGGGGATGAGATCAATGACGGTCACTCACATAGCCTTGGCCGGCTTGATGTCCTGTCGGCACATTGAAGGGGGGGATCAGTTACTCCACGCAGAGGGTATATCCCGTAGCGAAATCTAGCTCACATGGATAGCCGCGGCAACCTTACCCATCAGCCCTGCGACACCGTCAGTATTCTGCAGCACGCAACCGACAGAGACCACACGCACACATCCGCCCCTCCAACGACCGCTCCGGGTGTCTCTCCATCTCCACCTCGTGCGGAAGCTTCCCCTGCGCCGTGAGCTCCTCGACTTCCTGCCGGCGTGCCTCCCTGCAGCGGCGCCACGTCAGCACGAGAGGGGGCTGTACCATGCAGTAGCAGAACGCCGAACGACGCACCAGCTCGCGACGTAGGGCGTGCGGCGCACGCTGAGGGGGCGCCCGGAGTAGATGAGCGTGCGCGCGACGTCGTCGTAGCCGGCAGAGACGACGAGTTCCTTGTGGCGCTGCGGTGCGCCCGCCTCCTCGCTTGCGACGAAGCGCGTGCCGACCCAGACGCCCGCCGCGCCATACCTGTGCGCGCCGTCAGCCA